CCACCCCCATCTCCAACTCCATCTTCCGATGTCAAAGAAGACCCCTTCCGACCAATCCCCTTCTATCTCCTTGCCTCTCACGAGAAAGGCTGATGACCGACAGTCCATGACAAAAACTTGGAGACCACCGTAAAAGAAAGAGATGACCGGAGTCGACGGTGGTTGGAACATATTCCGGTGATCTTTTTCTTATTTATTTTCTCCTCCATGGCCCCCTCCCCCACAAAACACTCTATTACAACTTATCAGACCTAATAATGGTGAACACTTATTTTTGCGTTTCAATTGCTTTGTTTAATGCCGGATTTATGAGATTCGACTATTTTCTTTTGTGGCTCTAGTCGCTTCAATGAGGAAACCCAATCTTTTTTCCTCTTTGGGTTTTCCTATTTTGATGGTTTCAGAGGCCCCATTACTCTCAAGCTGAGAACATTTCAGTATTTCATCAGCATGGGAACTTCAGCTTCACCATGGTGGATTTCAAAGAAATGTTTAGCTACAGAGCTAATGTCTAATTTTGCTTCTGTAATATCTTGTCAGAACTATTTTTTGAAACTTTACAACAAAAACGATTTTTGTTGCTGAAGATGTTCAGGTGGTGTTGTCATCGACAGATAGTGTTGAAACTAGGTGGCGAATAGTGTTTATGGGCGGTGAAAATGGCAGAATAAGTTGAGATGATTTGCCGATGGGTTTGTTTGGGCAGAAGGTAAGGAATTAGGATGATTTGGAGAAGAAAGGGTGAGGAAAAGTGGGCTCCACTGGTGAAATTTCTTCTATCACATGTGGCATATACACAAATGCTCAACGAATGCTGGTAATCTACAAGGTTGGAGCTGCAACAAAATCATCCCCCGTCATAATTCATAAGCACGTAGAATATCCTACAACAGATCTTAAGTATTTGGGTAGCTCTCGTCCAAAGCTAACGATCTACTCAGAGAATCTGGGTCATTAAGTTATACAATAGGAAAATATAAAAAGAACAAATTCAAGAAGAGATTCACACACTAGAAGAACCTTTCTGATATCAACAATCATCAAGAAAATCTTCCATTCATTCCCCCTCACCGCTCTCCAGAAAGAAAGAACAGTGAAAGCAAAGGGGTTGGGAGGGGGCAGTGAAGGGCATGGCAGTTGCAACGTCAAGAGGGAAAGAGAAGAGGTAGGTGGTGTAGGGCATTTCAGCAGCCATATCAACTTTGAAAAGCTAAAAGCAGCCATATCTCTTTGGCACCTCTGATCAGTTTAGGCATAGTAGTTTAAGCTGGCTTTCTTCTTGGCTTGAACTTGAATGATACCTTCGTTGAAGTCTTCATGTGTAACCTGCAAGAGAGCGGACACAGAATTAGATGGCTTGCAAACCTAAAAAGAATGGGGATTCTGTTTTGCCACGGTTGATTAGCCTCCCCAAGACGAACTTCGACATGTACAAGTATAGAGAGAGCACCACATATCTTTTTTAATTATGAAATATAGATCATCATATGTATTAGTCACCACTGAACTGCAAGAAGGGCAGACGTAACGGACCAGTTCAATTTAATTAGTATTATTATGAATATAATCCAAATATCTATCAGACCAAGGTAGAAGCCTAAACTTTATCATGTGCTTAAAAAAGAATATGCGCTTTATGTAACTATATAACTGTTGGGAAGGATAATATTTTTTGAAAAGCAATCGGATTTCATTTTTACCTTTTAGCCAAAGCACTTGAAATTTCTTAAAACACATGTCAATTTCTTAAAACTTATTCATCTTTAAGATCATTTAAATTTCTCAAGCTTCTGGTATCATCAAAAACTTGAACTGCTTGAGCTTTTTAAGCCCCCTAACATGATGAGATGCAGAATTTAAGTCAAACATCATAAAGATAATAGCCAGACCATCAGCCCAACTATGCACATATTTGGGGGAGCACGCATGCAATGTAGGAGAGAGAATAGAGACCTCGGTGGCATCGCGACGAAGTGCTAGCATGCCTGCCTCAACACATACAGCTTTCAATTGTGCCCCATTAAAATCATCTGTTGATCGAGCCAATTCTTCAAAATTAACGTCTGGGTTAACATTCATCTTTCTGGAGTGGATCTGCAGTTGGAAAAGAACCAAAAGACGTTAAAAGCAAAATACTCAAGAACTCATTTCATAGTAGCTAACCAAGGCAAGGGAAAGAGAAATGATCTGAGACATGTTTAGCAGAGTACCCCACCTGCAAGATCCTAGCCCTGGCTTCCTCTGTTGGGTGGGGGAACTCAATCTTACGATCCAATCGACCAGATCTCATCAAAGCAGGATCCAAAATATCAGCTCTGTTTGTTGCAGCTATTACCTGAAGTGAACAAAGAGACCAAAACAGTTTAATAAAAATGTATAGAAGCAGAAAACTGAAGATCTGTTCTTTTAGCCTTTGCAGTTATTCTCAGCTAAAATATTGAAACCACATACAAGGTAATTTTTTGGACAGGAAAATCATGCTCAAGATCCGAACCACAAAGTTGGACTAAAAAAAGGTGTATACATAAATAGTTATAAGTCGACAAGAACCTTAATCCGATCATCACTGCTAAAACCATCAAGCTGATTAAGTAACTCCAACATAGTTCGTTGGACCTCTCGATCCCCACTAACTTCGCTGCAAAATAACAACATTACGTAGTTAGATTAACTCCAACATAGTTTCTTAGCTAATATGTTTACTGAGACGGGGGATATTATGGCATGCAAGGTTAAGTATATATTTGTGCAAAGCAAATCAAAGTATATAGTGTACCTATCAAAACGCTTTGTGCCTATGGCATCAATCTCATCAATGAAAATAATGCAAGGTGATTTCTCCTTTGCCAGCTCAAAAGCATCACGGACAAGTTTTGCGCCATCTCCAATGAACATCTAAAGTTAGCACAAGCATTAATCAGCAGCCCAATTGTGTAAAAATTTCAAATTGCGTACGCAAAATTGTAAATATTCAATGTAGCAGTTGACAGTAAACTTCAGAAAGCCAATCAATAATATGATAAATGCCAAATAATTGCATGATCACAAGTTCACAACATGAATTCAAATTGTCTTTTTGGACAGTTAACTATAGGAAATCATTTGATGAGCTTAAACTAACATGCCATCAGTTACCAATCAGAAAAACAAAAAAAATGCTGACATGTTCAGTATTTAGAACTAGAGATAGCAAATCGTAAAGGTGAGTGATATAGATAAACCCTGTTCCTGATAAGATTACTAGCAAAAAGGGAGATGGCATAGCCTAACCACCGTGGATAGTAGATGGTTATGGTTACTTAATATCCTGACTGTACACTAACCTTTATACCTAGGATCACTTATATATCTGTAATAACTGCATGTAAATCTAACCTAAAGTTTTTACGAAGTCATAAGCTTTTTTTTTCTTCAAATAATCACGAGTAAGTTTAAATGAGAACGCATGCCATGACCAAACTTTTAAGCATAATATCAATAATAAAAATGCTTTCTGGAAGTAGATCTTTTTATTTTTGATAAGTGAGGAGCTTCGTGGAAGTAGATCTAATCCTCACGTTTCAGACAAAATCAAATCGAGAGCTCTAGGATCTGAATAGGTGTAATTTCAAAGAGACAAGTATACTTTACAGCAATTCTTAGTCAAAATACCAGGACCAATGAAAAGAGCAAAAAAACTAGGTTCCCACCTATCCAGCACAAGAGAGTTAAAATTCAAATAAATCTAATGCAATTAAACACAGTAGGCTTAAAAGCCGAAAAAGATCTACCTGCACGAGCTGGGGTCCAGCTAGCTTAAGAAAAGTAGCATTCGTCTGTGCAGCACAGGCTCGGGCCATGAGTGTTTTCCCAGTCCCTGGAGGCCCATACAAAAGGACTCCCTTTGGAGGACGAACACCTAATTTCTGGAATCGTTCTTTGTGTGTCATAGGCAAAACAATTGCCTCGACAAGTTCTTGAATCTGTTTCTCCAAGCCTCCAATATCATTGTAGTCTTCAGTTGGCTTTTCATCAACTTCCATTGCCTTAACCCGAGAGTCATATTCAGATGGCAAGGTATCCAATATCAAATAACTGTCTTTGTTTACTCCAACAAGATCACCAGGTTTCAAATTGTCAGGATCAACAAGGCCAACGACAGGCAAGAAAATTGTCTGAATTGGCAATAGAGAACAGTTCAATTTAGCATCTACAGAGAATATAACCTAAAGAAGCTGTCGAAGAAGGATTACGCAGAACAGCAGGAAAGTTGGGCTCCATCCAGGAGAAGTAGAAAAAGAGAGTTTGGATAGTAATAACTACAATATATACCTAGAAAGCAAATGATATAATCCTATGATTCGTCACCTCACCTGACGCGTGGACGTTTTCAGTACAACACACTTTCCCTTCCTTTGTGAGTCGAGATCAATATTTGCACCATCCTCCTCAGCTTCTTCCTCTGGATTCATCTCCAAAATCTGTAAGATACCAGAATTAAATGTGCTTCAAAGCTAAATTTATCTCTTCCACCAACACATATTCTTAATACCCAAAAAAAAGGAAAAAGAAAAAGAATCAAAATTTGCAATCTCACAGTTCAACGTGTTAAAAAAAAACCTGAGATTACTGGGGAACAGATTCAAGCACTCAAGAAAAGGAAGCAGAAGCACAGCAGTCACTCTCCTCTGTCCTGCCCAATTTATGTTCCTCTAACCCATCTTCCAATTTCCCTATCTATCTGATCCCGAAAATGCAATTTCGGCACTTAAATTGACACTAAATAAATTTTCTTTTTTGAACTCTCCAATCAATTGAACAATATAATACTGCAAAGACAATCAAATACAAGTACATAATATATGCATACATAGCATGTCAGCATCGTAATTGGGTGAATTTTAGTCCATAGTATCATAGTAACGGTACAGTGTTAGTTTTCGTGACAATAAATTAGTCCGCAAAAGAAATACATGAAATCAGAATCCATAGCACATCCTACAAGTTGTAAAGCCTCTTAGTTGAAAACGTAATGTAGCCAATCGCCATATGTAAATATAACTTGCTAAAGATAGGCGTCAAAGCAAGATATTGAGAAAAACATAATGACTGACCTCAACAATGTTGCCGACCAAGTAAGGAAGTTGTTTATTGAGCTTAATTTTCTCTTGATTCTCCTTTATCTTCTCCTTGAAGGAATCCACCTCTAGATTCGTCCTCTGTAGCTCTTCCTATAAATTCACCATTCAAGTCAAATAGTCAAAAATCGAAACCGTAAAAACAAAAGCATTCAACAAACAGAATATTAACTCCGAGAGATCGGTAGGTACCCTAATGATTCGAATTTCATTGTCGAGAAGGCGAGAAGCCCTAATAATATCATCAGTGGACATAGCATGGAGCTGATCGTCTTCGAAGTTGCTATCCTCAGCCATCGCCGTTGCCATCGAATCTTCTATAGAGATAGAGCTTGTGTTTGAATGTGAAATCCGGGGAGAAAACGGAGTTAGAGAGTTGATCTGTGTAGCTTGTACAATCAGAAAGCTTTATATTCTCTTGTTTTATTGTCAGTCTTCTTCTCCAAGAAAATTTAGGGCCTAACGGGCCGTCTCGACACAGTTCGAGTTAGTCTATCATTGGCCCAACCCACGAGTAGAGGCCCGTTTATAGCAAACGCCAAGTGAAAATTGATCACTTCTTTGTTTTTCAATTTTTCTTCTTTTAGTTTATACTCCATCCGCTTCCTTTTTATATAACTATATTTGATCAGAGTAGAGTAAGAGTTCAAAAAAATTGAAAACTTTTGATACGTTAGTTAAGTATAGTCAAACTTTTTATAACAGGTTGAACATTTTTTTGTTGCTATATTCAGGGGCGGACACAACTATTTCCAATGCCGTTCCACATCTAGTTTACTAATGTAACAACAACATATCCAATATCTTTTCGCATGTGGGGTCTGAATAATGTGTACGCAGAACTTATTCCTACCTGATAAAGGAAGAAATGTTGTTTCCAATAGACTCTCGGCTTACAAAAGGCGAGGAGGAGGAGGAAAAGAAAAGAAGAAAAAAGAAAAAAAAGGGTCCACATCTAGTTTACTGAGCTCATTAATTGATTAAACAAGTAATTAAGGGGATGATAATATTGACGAGTCCGGAACCCAATTGTGGTTCTTTTGAACTCAAAATACCGAAAAAAACTTGGTGACCAAAGTATATAAAACGTGCTTTTGAACTGCGCTGTACCTTAACGTCCGTTTGGGACGTTAAGGTAAAACGCCTTTTAAAAAGACGTTTTATATAAAACGCCTTTATACGTTTTACCTTTTCTGATTGGACGTTCATATAAAACGTGGTTTATTAAGGCGTTTTATATAAAACGCCTTAATAAACCACGTTTTGCCTCTTCATATACCCGTCCCCTTCCCTTCCCCCACGTCAAACCAGAATCCCCCCCCCCCCCCCAATTTAAAATTGAACCAGCGGTCCCCCCCCCCCCCATTAACGAGATAAAAAACTCGAGTGGACCCCACCCGTCCCATAAAAAGTATAGAGTGTTGGTCCCACATCCTAGTTAAGGCCTTCTCTCGTTGTGGTTGCTCGTTTCGGACTAAAATCTCCAATTCTTTAACTTTTCAAAAAACATAAATCGGGGTATTCCGATTTAGTTTTTGTTGAAACTCGTATAAAAAATGCATATTAGTTGTTTTACATGTGTTCTATGTTGTTGTTTTTTTTTTGCGATTAAACTGGTATGTTATTTTTATCCGAACTTAGATATTAGTGTGCTAAAAAATATGTTTCAATTGAGAAATTATTATTATTTGCTTAAAAAATGTTAATAAGTTACTTTTTACTGTTGTATATGTATTTTCGTGAATGTTTTGTAATTAAATGTATTTGTTGGTTTTTATCTGGTTTATTTATATATATATATATATATATATATTTTGCTTAAAGACTAGTTATATAGTGTCCTTTTAGGGTAGTAAAATGTAATGCCTTTTAGCGTAGTAAAATGTAGCGCCTTTTAGCGTAGTAAAATATTGTGCCTTTTAGCGTAGTTTCCCTGTAGTTTAAGTATCTCTTATACTCAAAAATACATCAAAATAACTGATAGATCAAACACAAACTCTATCTAATTATAATCAATGATCGTATAAAAATAACATGAGAAAAGAACAATATTTTTCCGGATATCTTGGGAAGTGCACGGTTAGCCACTAATAACACATGTATTTACTTTTAAGCCACTGTTTAAAATGTCTTTAGTCTTTAGCCACTGCTTTAATAAACTTTACCTGCCCGGACGAAAATACCCTTCTGCTCATAAAGTTCAAGACCAAGTGTCCTTAACTTTTGAACTTGCAACTCTAAGTTCAGGACTTCAGGACTACATGTCCTTAACTTTTGAACTTGCAACTCTAAGTTCACGACTTCAGGACTACATGTCCTTAACTTTTGAACTTGGAACTCGAAGTTCAGGACCACTTGTCCTTAAGTTCTGTGCTTGTAACTCTAAGTTAAGGACTACTTGTCCTTAACTTTTGAACTTGTAAATCTAAGTTCAGGACCTATTGTCCTTAACTTTTGAGCTTGTTAGTCTAAGTTCAGGACCAAGTGTCCTTAACTTTTGAGCTTGTTAGTCTAAGTTTATGACCTATTGTCCTTAACTATTGGGCTTCTTAGCCTAAGTTCAGGACCTATTGTCCTTAACTTTTGAGCTTGTTAGTCTAAGTTTAGGACCTATTGTCCTTAACTTTTGAGCTTGTTAGTCTAAGTTCAGGACTTCAGCACCTATTGTCCTTAACTTTTGAACTTGTAACTGTAAGTTCGGGACCTATTGTCCTTAATTTTTGAGCTTGTTAGTCTAAGTTCAGGACCACATGTCATTAACTTTTGAACTTGTAATTCTAAGTTCAGGACCAAGTGTCCTTAACTTTTGAAATTGAAACTCGAAGTTAAAGACCAATGTTCGAGGAGTAGGCCTTGTATTTTCCTTTGACTCAATCTCCCATTCTCCATTAACTACATACTCTGGCATAGCTTTTCTGAGATCATAAAAAAGGAGTCACTTTTCAACGACAAAGACAAAGCAAAATATACAGGAAAAAGACGATGAAGAAAAAGAAAAAAAATGGAGGTTGGGAATGGAAGAAGAATATGCAGAGAGAATATCCCATAAAGAATATGCAGAGAGAATAGTCCAGAAAGAGAATCCGAAAATGGCGTGTCTATCCAACCTGTGATACCACTATATTTCCGTTTGGGAAGGAAAGGGTAACAACGTCCTTTCATATTAATTTTAATAAACAAGTGGCTACTTTTGCTCAGCATTAAAAATGCTGGATAAAAAGTAAATACCGCTTTAAATAGTGGCTACCCCATACAATTTTTACTATCCTGGTGCTATTGGCCCTAAAATATCAAGCCTGGAATCGATATGTGAATATTTAGTAATTAAATATTATATAATTATAAAAATTAATTATTTAATTTACAAACAAATATATAAAATTATAAAACTAACACATACAAGAATTCAGGATATCTTTATTCTACTGGGCCGCAAATATTGAGCCTGGAACTCATAAGTGAATATTTAATAATTAAATTTTGTATAATTATAAAAACTAATATTTAATTTACAAACAAACATATAAAATTATAATAAAACTAATACATACAAGAATTCATGATATCTTGGTGCTACTGGGCCTCAAATATCGAGCTTGGAACCCATATGTGAATATTTAATAATTAATATTGTATAATTATAAAAATTTATTTAATTTACAAACAAACATATAAAATTATAAAACTAACATGTAAATTAATAAAACTAACACATACAAGAATTCAGGATATCTTGGTGCTATTAGGCCTCAAATATCGAGCCTGGAACCCTTATGTGAATACATAATAATTAAATATTATATATTTATAAAAATTAATTATTTAATTTACAAACAAACATATAAAATTATAAAACTAACATGTAATTAAGGTTGTTTAATTTACACTAGACAACATGGAGGTGCCGCCATCAAGCGATGAGCTACTGTCGTTACAGGGCGATCATAGGTCCTCCCACATATGCGAGGGAGAGTTATTGACCCAGACTCTTCGCGTCAGGAGAGTGGACGACATGTGAGACTTTCTGAATGGCAGAGTTCTCCATCCCCGTGTAGTCACACGCCTGCGGGAGACGGGCTTCTACAGGATTTTAGAGATCGGGCAGCTGCAGCTCGATTGGTCTTTGGTCACGGCCCTGATAGAGCGGTGGCGACCGGAGACATACACATTCGACCTGCCCATTGGCGAGGCCACCATCACACTACAGGACGTGGAGGTTTTATTGGGTTACCCGTTGATGGACACCCCGTTGCTCTACCGCATGGCATGAGAGTGATGACAGGTGTGCAGTACCTGGACATGCTGCAGCGACTCACTGGTTTCCGGCCACAGGATGAGAATGTACTGGCTGGGACGAGTCGTTTTCCGTTGACGACTATTCGAGAGTATTTGGAGGCATTGCATCCTGACATCGATGGCGATACACCGGATTATCATGTTCACCGTTATACGAGGTTGCTGCTACTCCTTATGTTTGGAGGGGTCTTGTTCCCGATCACTTCGGGGAACCTAGTCAGCTTGAGATTTCTTCATCATCTTGAGCAGCTAGATGATTTACCCCAGTACAGCTGGGGTGCTGCTATTCTCGCCTACTTGTACAGGCAGATGTGCCGGGCGAGCATGGGCACCCAGCGTGACGTTGCTGGATTTTTGCCGCTACTACAGGTGACAACATATTCAAATACTCTATTCATTTAACATACCTAGTAAAAATATATCTTAAATTTTACGTCAACTTTTTATGTTAGGTTTGGGCCTGGGAACGGTTCCTGCAGTTGTAGCCACCTTTACCACCATTAGATCCGGATGTACCACCTCCGTTGCTCCCTCTAGCTAGGAGGTGGGTTCTCCGACGGGGACATACGCGTGAGTACGAGGCTCGGCATAATCTCTCATTGTGCAGGGATATCTTGGATTTGCTGGAGGGCGCACGGGTAAATGTATATCTATGTTTACTTGTCATAGCTTCACATGTGTTGCGTATACTCGCGTTTTCTGTTGTTACTTAATAGTTCACCTGGACGCCATACAGCGACGCGTTGATAGCTGGCTTGCCCGGTTATTGCTCGGCCGGGTGACTTATGTGGGGCTCTTCCGTCCCGTTGATCTGTCTTGATACTGTGGAGCATCATGCCATCGAGCGGGTACTTCGCCAATTTGGCCGTCCGCAGCTCGTACCGACACCACCCACTTGGCAGACCACACATTACCAGCGGGATGATCGTTCCAGGGTGGACGATGCATATTTAGCATGGATAGAGGAGCAGATCGATACTTGGGACCGGCGATTTGACATAATTCCGCCCCCTTCACCGTGTCGGCCGGATATTGAGCATGATTATATGGGCTGGTACCGCGGCGTTACCCGACTTTTTGTCGAGAATCCCGTTCATCGAGCTGGCGGTCGGT